TTTTTTTTTTGAAATTTTTATGAATTCATAATCGGTCAAATTTTTTTGATGGTCAATAATTTTCGTAAAATATATAACAAAATTTGCAAATAGCCTAAACGAAATAATTTTTTATTATTTTTCGATTTTATCTAATGTAATTGTTCACAAATTTTTTTTCAGCTTCAAGGTCCGCTATCAGTAATCGGACGCGCTATCGTTGTGCATATGAATCGCGATGATCTTGGATTAGGGACGAAAGAAGCGCAAGCAGAAAGTGAATTAACTGGAAATGCCGGACAACGCATTGGCTGTGGTATTATAAAGCGATTCGGCTCTGCTATGCCTCATTGAATTCTTCATTAATAATTTTCAACTAAATTCTTAGAATTAAATATTCAATACATGGATAATCACTTTGTTAACAATCATTTTTTAAGTTAAAAATTTTAAGTTGTAATTTTGATAAATTTTTGAAATTTTAAATAAATTCTCGAATCCGTTCTCAATCTGCTTTTTTAATTACATAATTTAATTACTAAATATATTAATTATATAATTTTTAATTATATTATTACTGTGGAATAATAGAAATACGAATGGAAATAATAGAAGTTTGAAGAACTAAATATTTTCAAAAAATTTTATGAATCTTTTCCTGATACTTGCAAAAATTCAGAAATGAAAATTTCTCGAATTGAGTAATTTAGAAGGATTTTTATGATCATTTTTTTACAGCTATTTCACTTATTTTACTTGATTTTTTTTTCTTTTAATGATTTTCTTTAAATAAATAATTTCTTTAAAACAAATATTTGATATTTTACCATTTATCTAAGTGTAACGAAAAAGCTTTAAAGTATGGCATTTGTTTCGTTTCTTTTCCTTTAAAAAAACTATCGCATTTTTTCGCTGTTAAACGCCACAAAATTAGGTGATTTTTATTGATAAAAATAGTATTAGAAATGAACTAAGAAAAAATAAATAAATAAATAAAATCGAAGAATATGAAAAATCTGGTAACTTTTCTATTCTACTGGCCCGGGAGTATTTCGCTCATATATATGGCTTTGCTCACTTATTCATATCAATTTTATAAACTTCAATAAAGTCAATACTAATTTCAAAATGATTTTCCTATCAACCAGTGGAGCGAGCTTAACCAAAAATTATGAACATTAATCACTTGTAGAATTTTATCATATCATTTTCTTGTATTTAAGTTGAAGTGATTTTTTTAACAATTGGTGATAAAAGATCAAATTGCTTAATGTGTACCAACCATATGTTTGTGTTATTCGCTGCAGTAATTCTGTAGCCAGTGCAGTTGAAAAAAATTTCTGCCTATTAAGATTACCAGTTTTTTTCTAGATATGTATGTATATATATATATATCTTATAAGGCCAATATGACTGGCTGAACGACAACTACTATGAATGTGTCGCTGAAAAAATTAAGTAAGAGTTATATTAATCTAGAGATAGAAAAGAAATCTGTCTGCTTTAGTCGATTTCAGATATGATCATACTGAATTGGAAGATAATGCCTTATTATATTAGTCAGTAATGCCCCATTAAAATAGAAAGGTAATAAGCAGTAAAACATTAAAAAACATCTATGACTGGTGTTTTTTTATAAAATTCATGCTAGGAATGATATTTATGAAGGTAATTTGTTTATTGGTCATTGTATTTCCATAATTTGAATTTGAAAATAGAAAATAATAGCATTAATAAAAAAAAAACCTGAAGTCTGTTTGATCTACCGTATTATCTGATATTAGATTAGGATTGTTATCTATTTGATTTATTTAAACCTATTTTGTTTAATATTAGTAAAATTGAACAAAATGACAAGAATTATATCCATATTAATGGATTTAGCCTTACGATCAATTCTCAAGAACAATTATGCGTCCTTTTCACCATTTATGTTGTAGCAATGATAACAATCCTAATCATTTATGTTTAAGGAAGACACCACTGCACTATACTAAACTTAATATGCAATATAAAAGAATGCAATGAGTACCAAGGAAATTTTTGCAGCTGATGATTTCATAAGTAAATATTTGGCTAAAAAGAAATATTTGTAGGGAATTCAGCCGCCAATACTGGGAAGTGTTTTTTGCTTTCGATAAGCTAATATAAATAAAACAATCCAGTTGACATTTGGCTTGTCGATTTTCGATAATCGTTATTTAAAAGATATGGCATATATTTTAAAATTTTTTATAATAGTATTTATAATCGATACAATAGGCATGGATCTCGTTTATATTAAGTAAACCCACAATTGCGAACATGGATTACCTATCTCCGATAATCAATGAAATGGTACCAAAATCTGATTATGCAATTTTTGAAACTTTCATCATAAATTAAACGTTATTTTATTAAATTTAAATTTAAATAAATTTATTAATTTATTTAATTTATTTTACTATAATTATTAAAATTTAAATTTTTTTTATTTATTAGGCAACATTTAGCGAAATTGAGCGCACTTCTCCAGGTGAATTTATTTTATCGAAGCGAATTTAAACTTTTAAGGAATATGTCGCATCTTTTAGTAGTGTCTGTCTTCAGCTAAATTTTTCTTGGACCCCCGATTTTTAATTCTATTAAATATAGATTTTCTCCGTTTTATAAAAGTGCAATGTTTTTTTTTGTTCTTTGGAATTTTTTTAAATTGGGTCAATAGGCTAAAATAGTAAAAATTTTCAAATGCTTACATTTATTACATTTTATTTAGTATTTTTTTGATTTGCTATCAATCAAAGTTATTTGCTATTAATCAAAATAATTAGTTAAGAAATTCAAACTTTTCCATTGTATGATAATTACTTGAAATAACTTTTTTAATTTTAATTGAGTTGTGAAAGAAAGAATAACAAAGAAATGGTACAATTTATAAAATAATAAAACAATGAAACAAATGATAAAAATAGATAACATAAAAAATAAATAATAATAGGAGGTGAAGTGTTTCATTCCCTTATCAAGAATTTCAACTTATTTATTTATTGAAAACCAGCCAAAGAGGGCATAAACGCCAACCATGTGCTTGTATTAATAACAACAGTTAAAATAATAAATAATAAGAATTAATGACAAAAAATAATAAAACTATTTAAAGATAAAATAGAGAGGAAATTACAAAATGATATAATATACTACAATTACAATAATGATACAATTCGAAATAGCTATAATCAAATGGTAAATGGTAAAAATCGAGATTTCACACTTCTTGCATGATGAGAATTTTTTAAATAATATCATACTATATCATACCATATAACTTGGGTAATTTATCTTTATCGCTGACAATTCATTTTGGTAATTCGTCTTCTACGAAACACTTAGAAAATAATAAATGTCAAATTACTAAAATAAAGGTTAGAGAATTACTAAAATGTTTATATAGTATCGGATTATTTTAAAATGATTAAAAAGATTAAATTTGCTAAGAATCTTATCAATTCGCTAACATATGTCAATTTATATCAATCAGATTGTCAATTAATCTTTAATTAATGTCAATTAATGTCAATCAAATTAAGAGATTGAATATCAATAGAAACAATGATCGTATTATTACAAAGCAAAAAAACAGTTCATTGCAATTCTTCACACGTTAGCCTTCACCTGGAACTTTTTTTTTATTTAAAAATAGCCTATATTTTCAGTAAGGGTACTTTCGTAAAAATATCGTTAAAATCGATAATTTTATGCTAAATTTTCATAATTTATTATAGTTCGCCCTTCTATTTATACGGTACTATAGCAAAAAAATGCTAATATAGGTTTTTCCTTTTTAAAGCTAAATTATTAGTAAATTATTTAATTTTGCAGAAAATGAAATAATGTTTATAGCTTTTTATAACTTTTATTTAATAGTATCATTATATAATTTCGCTCTTTCATTAGAACCACTTTTATTTATTTATATATTTAATTATATGTATTTATATTTATTTATTTATTTTTATTTTTATATTTAATTACTCTTATACTATTGTAATTCGCTAATTATTATTGCATTTTTTAATGTCTAAATATTGTGTTTTTCTCTGGATAACTGACCGAGTTATACAATTTTACTTATTCTTACACTATTGCAGTTCGTTATTTCATTTATTTTTCAAAAATTAATAGTAATTTTAATAATAAATAATAAAATAATAAATTAATTTTAATTTTAATAGTAATTTTAGTAAGTTTAATTATTTTTTTCTCATCTTCATGTATATTTAAAAAAAAAAAAAATTAAGTTCTTCCACTCAAAAATTAACATTCTTCCATTTTCGAAATTAAAAATTAAGAAATTCATAGATTGGCAAATAATATCTCTTTAAAACAAATTGAAATAAATTTAATATAAATCAATAAATAAACACCAAATAAATTTATTATTAAAATTCTACAAAAAAATTCTGTGGATGAGCTATGAGCTAATAATTTAATAATTGCTTTTTTTTTGTATCAAACCAAAAAAATTCTGCTTATTATCATTTCCATTGATAAAACCAATTTTTATTAAGAAAGTACAGACTAGCACGCGATTATCGTTGTAATATGAATTCAATTGAAAATCTATTTATTTAAAAAAATTTTTAGTTGCAGAAAATCGAGAAAAAGAAACATGAATTTTCATGTTGAATTGTTGTTAATTTTGCTTTTCTATTTCTCATTAATCATTCATTCTTGTAAGGTAAAAAATTTTGAAAATTTTTATTTTAACTCATAATTTCACTTTTCTATGAATTTCTTTCTTCTTTCTTCATAATTTTTGTTTATTTATTGATTTAGAAACAAATAAGTCAAAAGTGAGGTGAAATGAGTCAAAAAATTATGCTAAAATCTACAAAATTCTACTAAATCTGCTAAAAATAAGATAAATAAGATAAAATAAAATGGAATAGCATTAGTAAATATATATTGCAAGAAATATCTAAAAATTTGAAACTATAAAGTGAACGAATAGAACTAAGTAGCTCTCTATAAAATTATGTTATCACTATTATCACTACTATTATCACTATTCTAATCTATTACAGATCGCTACTACAGATTAAGTAGAAATTATATCATCACTAGGAAAATTATTATCTTAACAATTAATATGAACTTTATGTTCATAAACTTTTCCACTGCAGTTACGCTTTTAGCCGACTGTAAGAATGAAGGGTAGAATTGTAGAAGCTCGAGCGGCTATTGAAGGTGATGGTATAACAGGAACAATCACCTTGAAGCAAGTAATTTTCACACTAATTTGATTTACTATAAATTGCAATTGCATTCTCCTTTCCTCTCATCCTTTTTTTCCTGTCTTATAATAACATTTAACAAATTTGGATGGATGGATGCGGTATTATAATAATCCAACGAGAATCATTTGAGGATAGCGGAGAAGTCACCAGCACAGTGCAACCTTCATTTTCATTTTTTCTTAATATTTGTTCATTTGACAATTATTTTAAAAAATTTATTTTTTAAAAATTTCTTCCTTTAAACTGAAGGAAGGAGAAATTTCATCAACATCAATAAGAGGACAAATTAATGGACTAAATTCGGGTGAAAATGGATTACGAATATATAATATGAGTCGATGCACTTCCATTGGTCCAAAATTTAATCCAAATGTGAGTGAAATTTAATTTTTTATCTCAAATCGCCAATAGTTTTTTAGTTATTTCGGAAAAGTTATCCTAATTATGCTAATTTGAAAAAAATTTTTAAAATTTTTTATTTTCCTTCAATTTCTTCAAAATATTTTAGATTATTTGTAATTAATACTATTTATTTTTATTAGTTCATTATTTTTGTCATTTTTTATTATTTATTTATTTAATTTCAATATTTAAATTTAAATATTTAAATATTTAAATAAACAATATTTAAATATTTAAATAAACAATATTTAAATTTATATTTTTTTTTTAAATTTTATTATTTTTTAAAATTAACAGTTGATATACTCAACAAATATTTGCTCACTGGGTTGTTGCTCAGTTTGGAGCACCGATGCTGAGGTTCGATTCCCTTCAAGAGTAAACCTGTACAAAAATCCGGGTGATGCTGGCGACTCACCTGTATTTCTACCGCCATGAGACTCCCTGAGGCATATTGTCCAATGTTAGCTGAGCGAGTTTAACCAATAATGGTGAGGACTCTTTAAAAAAAGAAAATTATTTTTTACCAGAATTGTTAATTATTTACCAATAATTAAAAATTAAAAATTTCAAGAAAAATAATGGAAAGTGATTTCCCTAAAATTTTTAACATTTTTTTTTTATATTTTACAGGATCAACTTTTACACAATCTCGGTAATTTGGTCGTCAATAGTACTGGTATTGCAACAATTAATATAATTACTCCAGTCGTTCAGGCAATTCATCCTTTTTATTTACCTATGCCGAGAGTTAAAGAATTGTTTTATTTTATTGCACTCATCATTTCTGGTTAGGCTTCCTCTCTTGGCTAAGCCATTATGATATTGTTGGACAGCCACTTTGCGAGGGTGACACATTTCCAGCATCTCTGTTTAGTTAAACTATTAATTACAATATTAATACCTTATGCTTATTGCTATCAAGGGTTGGAGCCGGACTATGATACTTGAACTGGCGTTTGAATAATATTTCACTGCTCCTTAAAGTTCCATGAATAAGCAGGTGAAAAACATCATGACTGCCTTAAAAAAATTATGCTTCTAGGCGAGTTTGATAATATTTTCTTGAAAATTGATATAATACAACACGGTATTGTAATGTTCTCCGAAAAAATAAATTTTAAAACAGATTTAAAGGCAGTATAGCTGAGTATGTAGTGTTTCAACTTATCAAGTTTTAAGAAGAAGATTTTTGCCTTTGATGTTGCTAAATCTGCCATTAGAAAATTTGGTTTGTGCTAGAGATCCACTTCTATTGCCAATCGCCCCTCAGGCGAAAATTCCCAACCTATTAATGGAGAAGCTAGCTTAACCACAAATAGTAAGTTCCATCAACTCATTTATTAACTTAAATAGGTACCATGCGTAATAAATAATCTATATTTTCCCTAATTTTGATCAAACGATAATTGCCTAAAAAAAATTTCTTTTTTTACTTGAAAAATATGAGAAACTGTTGAAAATTATTTAAAATAAACCAGAAGGCTATTTTAAAATTCTAATTCGATTTAATTTAATTCAATAATTTATTTTAATTCGATTATTATGCAATTTTTATTTGTTCTTAAATTATAAGACCTAATTAATTAATTTATTTAGCTTCAAGGACCAAGGTCAGTGATTGGCTGCATCATAGTTATTCTCTCGACGATCGAGGATTTTCGTCAAAATTTTACACAAATGGTAGTTACTACTCATAGTGAACAGCATCAAGAACAACAGCAACAGCAACAGCAACAACAGCAAACACGAAAGCCTAAAGCTGGTTGTGGTATTATTGAAATGATTCGGTCTGCCTAAATTTTATATTCAATAATTTATTGCGCGATTAATATAGCCATTTTAAAAATATTTATAAATTTTATTATTGGTATATGCCAAACAATTGAGCTAAAGAAGACTAATTTGCAAAATTCAAATTTTTTCTTCTAATAGATTATCTTTTATTCTACTATATATATATATATATATATATATATTAAAAAATTCCTCGTTCATCGCATATGGATAATGAATATCATTCTCAATCGTAGGGATATATCGTATTTGTGAGGATTAAAAGATTTCCACGCAACTTATCGTATATTATTCCTAGCAGTTGGTTCTTCTCGACGAGAGAGATCTTTGATGTCGTTCCTGAAATCTATTGGAGCAATTTTTTAAATATTTGATTGAGTTTAGGATTCAGAAACACACTTCAACACTAATCTTATTTATATTTATTATTTATATCTTATTTATATTTTTTTATTTATATTTGTTTAACATCCAACATAATAATTTCAATTGTTCTTTCATTCAGTTATTCTTTGTTAATCATTATTTATCCACATTCCTAGTTCGTTTATACTATTCGATATTCTCAGGTACTATTCAAAATATTGTAAAAAAGTACTATACTAAATACTAATACTAAATGGTAAATTCAATATGGTACTATCCATTTCAATTATCTATCGAAAGGAATTCCAATCCATAGAACAATAGATTCCGAGTGATACCTGGCGACTTGCCTGATTGCCGCCCCCCCCCCCTCCCAGTACAATCAGGAAATTCGTTAAAAATAATGCATCTCTCTTACTTTTCTTCTAGTGAGCATTGAAGATTCCGATCTGGTTGCATATCTACGAACTCCTTTTTTTGATAATAATTATCTATTTAAGGATCTATTTATTTTTATCATAACAATCATAATTCATTATCAGTGAATTAATTTTTCAGCTAATAGACATTTTCTATTTATGTTGAATAATTAGATAAATCCGAGTGATACTGGCGACTCACCTGTATTTCTATCGCCAAGCGACTCTCTGCCATATTTGTCGAATGCGGCAAACCAGCGGAGCGAGTTTAACCAGTAATGGTGAAAGTTTTTTTAAAAAAAATTAAATAAATGTCGTCGTTCAATCAAAATTTTTATGTTAGATTTTTAAAAATGCCAAAATTTTTCTTTTACCCTTACACTTATGAAACATTTCATAGTTGATTGTTTCTGGAATTCAATCATTTTTTTTATTACAAACATAAAAGGACTAAAAATTTGAAATTTGAAAAATTCTAAAAAATTTTTTTCATTGAAAAATTTATAATTTAACAATTTATATATTTTTACATATTTTTTATTGTATTATATTAATATTTATTTTTATTTAATTAAATTCCAAAGATATTTTATAATAATAGTGATAATGTCCATAATGGATGTTTATCATTTTTCATGCATGCATTTGTCAATATTTTCCATTTTTTTTTTTTTTTGGTATTTAAAATAAATATTCAATTTATTCAGTTTTTTTTTGATAATATTGATGATTCTCCTGAATTAATTTATTCATTTAAAATTGTATATATTGAATTACTTGAAAAGTTTTATGAAGAATGATGAAATAAAAAATTATATCACATCACTTTCATATATAATTCATTAATAGCTAAATTCTTATTTGTATATTCCATAATTCTAATGTTTGAAAAAAAAAAAACAGAGGAGGAGGGTATTTGACAAGATAGTTGAATAAATCACCAAGTCACCAAAGATTCCTAAAGATCGCCTAATAGTGAGATAATTAGCGATACTAATGATCCTAATTATCTTCGAATCGAAGCCTCGAGTTCACCACCGTCACCGAAATCCTATTCCCCCTATTCTACTGCAACCTGTCAATAACGCACGTTCATTAACACACCTTATTTGCTTCGATTTCTTCATAACTGTAGTAAATTGCCAAATTAAAGTGTTTTAACAAAAGGAGAACTCGACCTCAAAGGTTTCTCACAACATGCGCTGATGGATATAATGACGCTCAAAAAAATGCTAACAATTTATGGCCATAAAAAATATTATAACCAACTTTGGCTTATAGATCACAAACTTTTTAAAAAATCTCAAAACGGTTACAAAACGTAGATGGTTTTGTATTTTTAATGTTTTAATTGTAATTCTAAAAATAAGAAAGTTTTTCTTTTCTCAAAATTTATAATTCTGAGTTAAAAATAAATTTTTCGATCTAAGAAACTAAAAACTTTGTGAATTTTTAACCATTAAACATCAACCACTAACCATTAAAAATAAATCATCTTGAACAGATGGAATTTCAATAAAAAATCATGCATAAAATGAAAAATGAATTCGACATCTTAATTATTTAATCTACCACATTTACTAAATACCATTTTTTTATGATATATTTAAAATATCACAATAATTAAGTGAATATCACAAACATGAAATATACAGATTCCCGAGACACAGCAATCATAAAATTATCAGGAAAAAAATACAAAATTAAAAATAACAAATAAACAAAAAGTGAAAGCACCGAGAAAGAAATATATAAAATCAGAAACAAAACTATAATTTAAAAGAAAAACTGTCAAAGAGTCAAAATAAAATTACAAATTACTGTTACAAAATAAAATTTTTTAGCGCCAAAAAATCTAAAAATAAATTGCCTTTCCCACAAAAGTAGAGGAAAATTAAGTGATTAATCGGACATGGTTCCGAATTAAGTTATCTTTCTTATCAAAAGAAAGCCCATTTACAGCTAAAGATTTCTCAGACAACTCCAAAAATGATAACTTATCCGATCTATCAAAATTTCTTTCTACTGACAAAGGTTTATTTGGCAAATCAGCCAGGGAAGCACTTGACATGGCGAAATCACCGACAGATAAAGGAAGTCCTTGTGAAGACAGCTTCTGAGATTGCTTAGCCTAAAAATGCATGAATATTCAAATATTTAAATAAGGAAGCTCCAATGCTGCTTTAAAAACCAAAAATGTGAATCAAAAAGAGAAAAAGGAGAATTTTAACCTGATTATATAGATAAATACCACCAACTGCAAGCGTCATGCCAAAAAAATTTAGTATAGTAACAGGATTGCGCAAAGTAAGAAGCGAAATGCCTATAACACTGATACGCTTCGTTGTATTGGCTACAGCATACGATACTGCCGTAAGTTTATGCATTAAAAAAAATGCACATAAATTTTGGAAGAATGAGAATAAACTAGAAAGCATCAACAATAAAACAAAATTAACATCAGGCAATGATGTAGAGTATTCCTGAAACGGTATTTTCCACTTATTTCGAAAAAAACAAACAAAAAAATCAAAACAAAGAATTCTTGAAGGTTTCGCTTTTGCATAATAATCTAATAAAAATTACTAAGCAAAAAATATTTCAATATGTATTTTAAATTGACCGTTCCAGACGACGAATGAAAATCATTCCAGATTGCGAATCCATCATATATACACCAAAATGGAAAGAAAACAACTGTAGCAATCTGTGAATTTATAACCAACAACGTTAATGGATGAACATCAGTCGCTAACAAAACCTTAAACCAATAATTGGTAAAAAACAATCAAATGATCGTACTCCAATTTTATTAATGTTCATTAATGGCCTATTTCAATAAAAAAGAAATTGAAAAATCCCTAAAATCTCTAAATCAATAAAATCGGCAAAAATTAAAATCGTTGATCAAACAAGAGATGTAATCTGTTGAATACAATGAAATGAAACTAACCCTTTTGACATAAACATTAAGCAATGCATATAAAGCAGTTGAAATAAGTGCACTAATAAGACCTGACATATTGAAAGAAACTTCTGTTAGAGATGCAATAAATACTCCAATTATAATTGGGATTAATGACAAGTAAACCGCTCGTGTTTGCTTTTCATGAAGTACAACACGAGCAGAAAAAACAGCAAAAAAAGGAAGCGTTGCTTTTACTAAAAAATTATAACTGTAGAGAAAGTTTGCAAACACAATACAACAGAATCAAAAAAAGCTACTAAATTTACAATAATATAAAATTATCGAAATATCAACCGAATAAAAACCTCCATTAACATAAATAAAACTTTTCAAATAATATTTTTCTAATTTTCCTCAAATTTCTAAATAAATAAATTCAAATTTCCTCAAATTTCTAAATAAATAAGATATATCGATTTTTACAGATAAATAAACAAAAAAAAAAAACTAACCAGTATTAAGATATGAAACAGGTATTTTATATAAACTAAAAAAACCACTAGCAACAGCGATAGCTTTTCCAACAGCACTCGGTAAAACAAATCGCACCATATAATAAAAAGGTATAGAAGATGATCTAACATGCGAAATATGCATTAATACCTTTGAATATAATGGAATACTGAACAATGATGCAAGTGTGATGGACATTGGATAAGGATATCGCTGCAAAAAATTTTCTCAATTTTCCATTTTTTCAAATCAATTAAAAATGGTCTAAAAGCTATATAAACTGAAAAAAAATCTAATTTTTTTTCGAAACTAATTTAAATGAACTAATTGTTATTGTTACAATTTATTTACGACAATAATTTTGAAATTATTTCCATCTTTCAGATATTGTAATGAATTTTGATTAATGGTTCTCAAATGATTTGATAATTAAACTCATAATGCCTAAAATATGAAATTTTAAGAATTTTCCAAAAATTGGAAAATTTGCCAATTTTTCAAGTTTCTTCTTAAACCGGCTTATTGCTTCTAATTATCCATTTTTTCAGCATAAAAAAAAATCTGAAAAACATAATTTCACCTGCAACGTAATTTTATTAATAATAGAGGCAGCAGAACTAACAAAATACCAAAAACAACATAATAAAACAATTTGAAGACCAAAATGAAATTCCGTTGACGTGAATTTCATTATTATAAACAATAATTTAATATTTTCTTCATCTGCCAATAAGAATTATTTTATTTAATTTGCGAAATTATTTCTTTCGTTTTAGTACTTTCATCTTTTAACCATTTGAAATCTGGAAAATGCTTTATTCTTTTGAGGAAACAAATACTTAACAATGAGCTCATTAAACCAGATAAATTTTACCAGGGAATTCACTTAACGAAAGAATTAATATAGGTGAGTCGCCAAAATCATTTGGATTTTTCAGTTTATTTCTATCGCGAATATAATACCAGCATTGTCGTTCCGAAATGTAACTGAGCAACTGAGTCCACTGAATCATTCTATTTCCTACGCGTTAATCCTTTAATCCTAACACTTCCTATATTAATCCTTTTGTGATTGCGTTCAATTTTGTATTTAAATCTACATACTATTGTAATAATATCAAAAAAATGCCAAGAAAAAGAACGATGAAACCAACGAAAAAGAATTTGTTAGGATTTAGAAGAAAAAAACATTACAACTACTCAGTAACTTTATTTGCACTGCATAAACAAAAATTGCTACTCATCATTATACCATTTTATTAGGAAAAAAGTGATTTTACAGGTGATAAACTAAAAAAAGCTTATATCTGAGACATCAGAGATACCAGAGTGACTCACTTAACGAAGAACCTGGATGCTAGCGTTTTCCTCCAGGCGGGGGTAAATATCGGGGGCTAACTCAACTATATTTTCGCCGCCAAATGACTTTTCTAATAAAATATCTATTTTGGCTCAATAAGCTAGCTAAATGAGCCAAATCAGAAACAAAGGGAGAATTTTTAAAAAAGAATTTTTAAAAATAATAATGTACTCTCTTCCAATTCTCTTTGAGTTCGAATTGCTTCCATACCTTTTAATTCATTGAAATAATCCTACTAAATCGAGAAGCACCCCCTCCCCCCCCCCCCCACAAGCCACTCAATCAACCCATTTCCACCATACACTAGCGATAAATTGGCGTCGACTTGTCAAAAACCAAATATTTATTTAGTCGCCACGTCTTCAAAAAATCAGATAACCGCTTCAGAAGCCTATCAAAAAATAACAGCGCCCAAATTCCTTCTTTTTTAACCTCCACTTCATAGCAGCCTCTTTGAGCTTGAGCAAATAAATTCAGACGGAATTATCTCAATAAATGCAAGTGGCAATGTTACATTAAACATTCTTCATCTTCCAACAGCTCTCACCACTACTGGTTAGGCTGGCTCCACTGACTACAAGGATAAGACGCTTGCAAGCTGCGCGATCTGATGCCATCGTCGACAATAATAGAAGCCATTTCTTTTTTCCATCGTTTAAATCCACATATTACTGGTCCAAGTATATGGGCCAAAATGGGCAGTCAGAGAATTTAAGGCAATGTGGAACAAATGAATCAATAAATGAAAAAAAATTTTTTTTTTAATCACTTTCATTATTTCTGTTGCCATGAAAAAAAAGCAAATACATGCAAATTTTTATTTTAAATTTTTATTTCCTAAGCAATGAATCGAATAAATAAAAGACTTTGATAAAAAATATTGAAAAAAAAAAGCACCTATCAAGCCAATAAATTCGCTTCATTATGTTGAAAATCATTAGTACTTCTTTCGAAATTAATATTTCGTCTGAATCATAGATTAAAAGCACATTTCCAAATAACTTCCATGAACTTACAATTTTTCCATTAAAAGTTCCAATGAATTCCTCCAATTTGATTGCAAATGTCAATCTCCGATTCCCTCTCGCTGATCATTCACAGAAATTATTATCTGTAAATTGATCTAAAAATTGATAACAATCAAGAAAAAACTATTTATGAGCGAAAAAATTAAAATATTATATTTCTTTTTGATTAAATTGATTTGATTCTGACTCTGACTCTTTATATGAAAAAAAATGATAGATTAACATTTATGAAATCAGATGAAATCAGATTTCGAAAAAAATTTCTATGAAGTTATTAACGATTTATTAACCAGAAATGCTAAGCCAAGAAATATGAGATAAATATATCTATTACGAAGAAATCTAAATTTAAGATCTAATATATAGGTCTATTAAGAAATGCAAGAATAGATAAGGAAATATTATTTGGCTGCATTGATTTATTTGGCTTTCTTTATTTATAGATAAAATAATGAATATTAGGATTTTAATACAAATCGTTTTTTTTAAATATATATTAAAAAATATTAAAAAAATTATTTTGCTATAATTCAGCTTTATTACAATTTTTTCATCAATCCATGCTTTTCATATCAGAATTATCATTTATCATAATTATTATATTCTAGGTGGCCTTTGTTTAAATACTGCTGTTACTGAACATTTCTTTTTTTTCTTTCTATAATCTGACTTTCATCTTTTTTTTTCCTTTTTGAAATAATCAAATCGAGTTTATTAATGTAATTTTATTCATTATTAAATTTAATTTTATGATAAAATATAATTTTGAAATAATTTCGAATAAAATTCGTTCTCTTAACCAAAATAATTATTTCATCTTTTTAATATCGCATACCTGCTTTAGAGAATTAGCTGCTGGTCATAAATGATGCAAATTTCGCGAGATCTGCATTTGACCATGAAGAACGCCATGTTTTACTAGCCAAACAGTACCTTAATAAATTCATGGGAAAATACATAAATTTTTATAGAAAAATCTATTCCTTATCTAATTTTTTATAACTCAACCAAAACAGCAAAAAAAATTTATTTATCTTATCTTTATGACAAGATAAAAGAAGCGAATAAATTTTATTCAATAAAAACATTTTTAAGACGTTTTTAACCTTCAACTTACCACTGCTTTTCCGTGAGCATTTGATCTTTATTAGTAAAGCCATCCTTTGGCAATGCTAACAAGCGAATTCTCAACATTTTAATGATTTTATCATAATCTATAATTCCTTCAGGCAATTGATCATATTCCGATTCTAGAACATCAAATTTTTGAAGAAATAAACTGATAGAAAAGGCAAAAACTTTGGTGGATGACACTGTTATTAAAATTCCACAACAAAAACGGAACGGACGAAAAATAAACAAATAAATAACTAACGAAAATGTTCGAATTTAGAACGATTTTTGAAATCAGGAAGTGGGATGTAATTTACTCTAGTAGAATTTCCTTTGAATGAATCAGGTAATATATCCAATACCGATAATCCACCATTAATATTCAGAGAAGAATCGGCGAATAAACGGTTAAGAATATTTGATCGATGAATTATTGTACAAGGCAAGAAATCTTCAGCTTCAGCTCGATTGTGCACAAAAACTTTAATTAATTGATTAAAAGAGTGAAAATAGAGTAAGAGAAAAATAAAAGTAATTTATTCGAAGATAATTTAATACCTAAATTAGTTCGACGATGTGGTTTGGGTGAAACTTGCTCATTAAATATTGTAAACGGATGTGGTGGAATTCGAAGCATTTCAGCGACGCGAACATGTCGAATAACATCAATATCCAAGAACCAGTCGAAACAAAACAAAACTGTATGACAGATTTGCAACAAGAATGATATGAACTGCAGAGACTATAAAAATAAATAAAATTTTATAAAATAAAATTATAAAAGATTATAAAAATAAAATAAAAATAATAAAATTTTATAATAATTACTTGAAAATCAGCATTCAGCTGAATGAATGATGTTTTTCCTAGCACATTATTTCGTAGATGAATTAGAATTATTCTTTATAAGAAAATAAATAATAAGAATAAGAAAATAATTAGAATAAATAAATAAATAAGAAAATAATTTTTTTAAATTATGTTTGAAGGGATAAAAGATTTGTGTAATGAACTTTCAAAATCAAATATTTTTTTATTTAACAGAAAACTTTCAGAATTTCTAATAAAATAAAATAGAGAAGAAACATGAAGATTCCTTTGAATCAAAATTAAATTTAAAAATTTCTTAAAAATAGAACCAAAACCATAAAATAAAAAGGTGAATGGTACTACTGAATCAAACCAGCCAAGCCAGTACCAATACTAAGGTAAATATCAGTTTGGACCTATAAATATAAATTTGGACCTGAACTCTTTTAGCACTGAATTTTATTATCTTAAAAAATAGAAATAGTGGAAAAAAGCACAGGAATTTAGTTTAAAATACTAATAAAAAATTTTCACTTCAATTTCAACAGCAATTTCTGCTTTTCCTTTGCTTAATTCATCCAATTTTTGATAAATTGATGGGCGATTTCTTAATACATCATCAAGAATAGCGGCAGAAAACAATGCCTGCAAATCTTCTAATATAAAAATAAAAAAAATAAACTGAAAATTATTATATGTTGAAATAAGTCTTAACAGAAAAATTTTCAAAAACTTGAACTATACTTGGCTACACTCAATTTGTATATGATTCATATCATATACATGTTTTTTGCTCATGAAGTATATATTTTTGCTCATGAAGTATATATTTTTGCTCATGAAGTATATCTATTGTGTAAAACATAAGAAAAAAAAATATTCATTAATCAAAGACAGTTATAGAAATAAATTACTTGGCAATCCAACAAAATCATCCTATCTTTCGTTACATAAATACTTATCTTCGAAGTCTGATATTTACATTCCTCTGTTGTTTCTCGCATGGCACAACGGAATGTATAGTGACCGAAATTAATAAAATTTATTTAAAATTTAAAATAGAAAAATAGAAATAAATTATTCAATTACCCAGAGATCATTTATTTCATTATCTTAAGAAAAAAACTTAGATTAAACTTAGATTTAAATCAATGAATCATTACCGATACAAATCTTGAGAATTATTTCCTGTAAGCATGCTTAAAAGCGTTGATTTTCCACAGCCCTGAGGCCCAATTGCACCAATAACAGTAAACTGGGTATTGGTGTTGGATAAATGATTCTTCAATATATTTGTTTTTAATTTATTATAAGTTATTTCGACAAAATAAATTAATTTCCAATTAAAAATCAAATATAAATTAAAAAAATTAAAAATCGAATAAAAAAAAAAGATTAAAATATGTAATAAGATCAACCGATTTTTTAAGAAATTTTTAAAAAGTGACGTCGAAAATCAATTTTCAATGAAAAAATCCATAAGATGAGAAAATAACACTCACTAATACATAATCCATAAATTCTAGATGATCGCCAATTAATCGTATTGCTAAACTCATTGGAAGAAGAGATTCGTATTCCGCTTCTTCTTCAGCTGGTACAGGTGCATTTTGTGGATCTTCAAATCTCTTTATCAAGAAAATATTCCACTATAATGTTACTTCTCCGTCATAAACCTGTTATAAAACACGAATAGAAAAAGGTAAAAAAAATGGTAAGAAAATATTACTAGATTTGTTTGCCTTCGAAATTTTTCGCTGAACAAGAGAAGCGGCTTTTTGATTTGCTCCTTGAGGTGGATCTGTTCCCTAAAAAATTTAATTAATTTTATTAATAGTAAAAAACTGGCATATAAGATTTTAAGATTTAAGATGAAATGATAATTACAGGATAATTAGACTAACAGCCAATGATCGCAATATGAGGCCTCAGACTGATATAATTTGACACTGTTACTAAATATTTAAAAGCTCAATAACAATAAGAGCAAATTTTCAAAGATCTTAGAACACTCTCGTACCATATGACTAAGCAACAGAAGAATTTCCAGCTCCAATATGAATTAAGCTTATATACGTCTGGCGAAATCACAATAGAACGTCGTGAAATAAGTATCAAAATAGCAAATTTACATTCGTCTAGCTGCATTACACATAACTATTCCGATTCACTATGAAACACGGTGACTAAAAGTCAAAGCTACCATCGTTGACCATTTCTACCCAATTTAAATTTTACAGAACCTATGAGAGGATCGAATCGCATATAAATGCATATATTTTCTCTCAAATATTATCTGTCTACATTAACATTTAAACTTTAGAATTCTCAAAGATCGATATCTACGGTACTTTATCCACGTATGAAATAAATTGACGAATAGGACTTATACAAATATACAAATATATACACCCACATATACAAATTTATATATATATATATAAATTTAATGAAAGAAAATGCTCACTTCGGAATCTTGAACTGAAGCAAAATTTTTTGAATTTGACGAGTCTTCACAAATTGATGATGTATCTGAACAATGAAAAATAATATCAAAAAAACATTGAAAAATAAAAATAATATTGATAAAAAAGCAAAAATAATAATAAAATAATAATAGCAAAATATGAAAATAGCAAGCGATTCTCTTTTAATTTATGCTTTTATTTTTCTGGATAAATATATACAAACTATCTTTTCAAAAATAAATGTTGCATTTGCAAATTATTGCAAAAAAATTGCAAAATTTTCATATCCTTCTAGTTGGAAGAGTTTATCAATCGTGAATGATCAATCTTATTGTCTCAACTAAATTTACCATAAAATTCTTTATTTTCTCAATAAATATAAAATAACCATAAAAAATAAAAAAAGAAACGAAAAACAAAGATGAATAATCTGTTAAAATTTAAAGTGCCATATATAAAAATTATATAATTGAAAACCTTTTGGTTTGGATAAAAGAGCGGTAGGACGCGGTATTATTGTTACAACGGAATCTTTTTCTGGTGCACCAACATTATCACTCGCACTTTTATCACGAAATCGTCCAGTCTTTATCTGCAAAATTATTGTAAAGCAAAAATTTGCGATAATTTCCAATTCGATTTGTGTTAATATAGAAAAAGAAATTAATATAACGAATAAAAAAAAAAGAAAAAAAGGGAAAAACATATTAGATATAATTTTTGATTCTTCTATAATTATCGGTTATCAATTAAAAAATGATTTTAAAATTATCATTTAGAAAGAACTGATTAATTTTAATTCAAAAAAAAAAGCAAAATTCACCAAAATTCTCAAAAATAAATAAAAATTATCGAAAAAAAAGATTTTTCTTCGCTGTAAAAAACAAATATTATTTGCCTCAAATATTATGGAAAATTTTAAATTTGTTAATAAATCGAAAAAAAAATAAGAAAAAGAAGAAAAAAATGAACCAAAATCGACGGTGAGGAAAATTCTTGTCCAGCATTTTGTGACGATGAATTCGTATCAATATTTGCTGAAATATTTGCGCGATAAGATCGCCATTTTTTCTTTTTTTTTTCGTTATTTTCATCCATTTTTTGAAATAATCCGATACTAAATATTTCTGCTAAATCGCAAATGAATTATATGTGCATTTCCTTCTCCCTAAAAATTTTTAAAATCACAAATTCATTCATCGTCTTTAGGGCGAAAAAAATTGGACAATTTTGTCCTATACGATATAATAAAATTATTATTTGAATTATTTATTTTTATTATTATTAAAATTATTTTTATTATTTTTCAAGAAGAATCCAAAATTGAGCTATGAATTCGAAAGCGATAATAAATTGGTGATAAATTATTAATTATTTCTTACCACTAATAACATTAATATATCATTCTAAATAATTGCAAATTAATAAAATGCATAAAATAACAAAAAGTTAAAGGTCATCAATCAATTATTTATATTTATATTTATATTTTTTTGCTGAATGGAAGCAAAATACGCTGATAATTGATAATAGATATAAGTAAATAAGAAAATATGATAAGAAAACAAAAATGTTAAAAAGATAATATAAAAAATAAAAAAGAACAATGATAAAAGAATGGTAAAAAATAGTGAAGTGCGAGGTGGAATTATCTTCTCTCGTTTAGCGAAGCCTCTCAGGAATCGGAGTAAAAATCAGCTTCAAAGAAAAAATTTCGCATCTAGCTGGTTGCAGTACCCACAAAACTACTAAACGGTAGCGAAACATGGTGAGTGAGAGTGGAAGACCTCATTAACTTATCCATGTTTGACTTAATTCTTCGTATGTGCAAAGGCCCTACATAACTGCGTCCACTTATGCTCGATTATTTTGCAGAGAAATTTTGTGGATATTATTTTGTATGGAAGTTTCCTGGATATAATAAGTCCTAGCAAATATTTCGCTAGAAACAAAACTAATCAAACCTCTGTAAAGCGTATAAATTCTTCTTCTAACTCTGCTCTTACTATTACTGACATAAGCCTACTTGGCTGGCAGCAAAGGCAAGAAGTAGAAGCCATTCCGTTATCCATCATCTAAACATATCGCTAGTCCATCTATACGTTTAAAATCTTTTCTGACTATATCAGTTCAGGTTTTGACGAAAGCGAATAGTGCTACTGAATGCATCTCTTCGTAATCTTCGCTATAGGTGAAAATATTAAGGACATATCCATATGACTCAATGTGGGCTACGTTGGACCATTCACCTCTATTTCTATCACCAAGTGATTCTCTGGTGAAATTTGCGAAGATCCGAGAAGCCAATGGAGCGAGTCTAACCAGACAAATGACGATTATATTCAGAGAAATCCTTACAAATACCATCTGCGTTAAAGAATATCGTCAGAATTATCACTAATTATCACTGCGTTAATTAAGCCATTTTCCTCGTTGTGTTTAACAAAGAAATTGATCGCACACCGTTGAAGACCAATCAAAGCTTGGACCGATACCATGGAGGCCTAGGCCACCAAATGTATATGTATATATATATATATATATATGTGAGTTTAGACAATGATAACTGAATTTTGCAATTTTTAAAAGGCTGAACTGATTTTTAGCAATGAGAATTCCTACTTTGCAGTTGAATTTGTTCTACATTTAACTTTACCGATTTTATTTAAATTATATTACTTCATATTTGCCCTATATTAGTAATTATTAATTATTATTTATAATATCTGTTTTTTTATTAGTTATATTACTCAGACTCAATTAAATTAAGTTATATTACTCAGACTCAATTTAAAAATTAATTAAATATTTCCGTGCTGCGCTGACTTTTAGTAATGCGGTCGTTCATCGGCTAGTTGTATCCTTATTTTTTTATTATTTAATTTTTGAACTTTTAACTTTTTCCTATTTTTTTTAAAGGATTTCTCTTAGAAGGAATAAAGTAAATGGAACGTTCAAAACATTTATATATGATTGATGAAACGACAAACGAAATGATTAATAGCGATTTGTTTACTCGCCGTTTTCCATTTTGTATTGTTTGGACGCCAATACCAATTTTAAGGTTTATTTTTTCATTAAAAAAAAGAAAATTTTTTTGAAACTAAGTAGAAACGCCAATTGAGAATCGAATGGCTTAGTGGGTTGTTGCTCGATTGGGAGCGCCGATGCTGAGGTTCGATTCCACGCAGAGCCGTTCAAAAATCCGTGTGATGCTGGTGACTCACCTGCATTTCTATTTTTGTCGCCAAAGGGACTCCCTGGCATATTGCTTAATGTGATAAGCCAGTTGAGCGAGTTTAATCAGTAATGGTGAGGAATCTTAAAAAAAAAAAAAGTAGAACGGCAAGCGCTATGTGCTTATATTAATAATATGCTTATATTAATAATTATTATTACATTAATAATAAAATAATGAAAATTAATGATAAAAAAAAAGAAAAACGTGATAAAAAATTAATAAAAATAAATTATTAAAAAACTTATTAAAATTATTAAAATAAATTATTAAATTTATTTTATTAAATTATTAAATTATTATTATTATTAAAAAAGAATTAATAAGAAAAAAATAATAATTTAAGCGTTTTATTGAATTATTCATTAATCGATGATGATCGTTGTTCTTTAAAATTTCATTTTATTTTATAAAAATTTTATTTCATATGAAATTTATAGAAAATTCTTAAATTAAATAGTTTAGTCGTTTTTTTTTTATTCGTTTTTTTCACATTTTCTCAAAAATATTCTTTATTTGACCTTTTGACCTTTTCGATTTGTGAACAATTGCTTATTAATAGATTATGGTAAAATAATTTTTTTACAATTATTATATAAATCTTAGTGCTTTTTTAAGCTAAATTTGATAATTCGATATCATTGGTTAGATTGTCTGCATCTAGACGATCTGAGCAATTTAGCCAAAAATATTGCGATCATTAAGTTGATACTCATTTTGAAGCGGCGATGGTGGTGTATTAATTTTGGCAGAAATAAATTTGTCCTGTAAGTATTCGAGTGATACTGGTTATTCACCAGTACTATCGTTAAGTGGCTCACAAGCAAAATTTGCCTGGTGCGGTAAGCCAGAATCGAGGCTGAGCGCTTTCAGAGAGGCAAAAATCGATATATAAAGCAATTTTAGTGAATTATTAGTTATTTTATCATTTCAGTTGGATATTTCCTATTATTGGTCATTTGGGGATAGCAACAAGCAAAGGTATTATTCGCGATTTCGCTGGAAGTTATTTTGTTAGCGTAAGATTTTCTCTTTTGTAATTTATCTTAGCAGTTATCGAAAACAACAATAGCGGAGAATTAGCTCGTCGATTATGTGCTTTAATAAAAGATTTGAAAAACCATGGACCATTTGAAATTCTTTGAAGTGTTAGTTGTTGTGTTTTTTTAGAATTATTGACTTTAATTTATTTAGGAGGATGAAATGGCTTTTGGATTACCTATTCGTTATTGGCAGCTTGATCCAAAATATGTCTGTGGTGGAGCGGAGGCATGGGATCGTGCTGTAAAAGAAGCATCCGATGAATACAAAGGGCATATTGTATATTTTTTCCCTATATTTTATATTATATATAGCAGATCCTTATCAGTTGCCCCAGTTTTGTTATGGTAAAAAAATATAAATTCGCTGTAATATTTTAATATAATCAATTCCCGGTCAAATTGATTAGAATTAGATTTCTAAGAAGTGAAATACCATTACATTAGAATAAAGTAAATTATGTTCTTAATTTACATGCCCGAATTTTATACTTTTCCCTTCTGCTAGATTCCACTCATTGAGTTAAGGCTCTTAATATTTTAAATAATAGTGATATTTTTCAGCATAATTTATTTTGCAATAATTGTCATTCGCATGTCGCATTGGCTCTTAATAAAATGAAATATGCAGGCAAGAAAAATTATAATATGGTCAACTTAGCAATATCGATGATCTTTAAAGGACATTATACGGGGTAATTTATAGGTTTATTTAGGTCTTTTGTTATTTTAAATCGAAATTTTTTATTTTCTTTTCGTTATTTGGTTCTTTTACCAAACGTTTTTTTCAGGTTTGGTGGTTTTGTGAAACACTGGTTACCTTCTTTCATTATTTTGATATTTCTTTTTTCTATTTTTATTGTTTCCTCATTTTAAATAAACAAATAGACAACAGTTCCTTATTTTTATATACTAATGTTTTCCCATTAATTTTCTATTTTACAACTTTATAACCAATTTTTTCATAAATCTTAACGGTCACGATGCTTTAATTGCTCCTTTTTGCTACCTGTGTTATGTAAAATTATTTTATAATTCACCTCATTTTTTTTCTGCCATTTTTTGGAAATGGGTTTTGCGAATTTTCGAGTCATTGCAAATTATTACAACTTTTTTGATTCTATGACTGAGATGACTGAGATTTTTTTCATATTTTATGGTCATCTCTCAGTTAAATGGAGTGTTACATATGAAGCGCCGGCACCAACCTGATTTTTTAATGAAAGCTTTTATTGCTGATTCCTCGTTTCTATGACAATATGTGGTAAAAAATATTATTTATATTACATATATAAATTAGTTTAATTATTATAATATAAATTAGTTTAATTATTATTACAATTTTATTTGCTTGCGAGATGTTCAAAAGGAAAAAAATTTGCCAATTTTCTTGATCTCTTATTTATGTTTGGTGTTTTTATTCTCTTTTAGTTTATTTCTTATCAATTTTATTTTTCTAAGATGTTCGCTTCAAGTAACAATATTGTCTTCGTTTGTCTCCGTTAATTTTCTATTTTCTTTAATATTTATTTTTCTGATTTGTCAATGTTTTTTATTTTAATAAATAAATTTCTTCACCCTTGTCATTTGTTATTTATTATAATATAGAATAATGGCTGATTTACGCCAATTATTTTTTATTTTTTAAATATTTCGATATTATTAAATAACATTTTTCGATAAATAGATAACATTTTATTAAATAATAACATTTATTAAATAACATTTTTATAAAATTTTTTTCGGAATTTTTTTTTAATTGTAGGTTTTTCTTTTATTTGTTTTTTACTTTTTTAGCTCATTTTTACCTTTTTTCTGTTAAAATTCTTTGTTTTAATCAATCTTTAAATAATTTCTTCTCTTTTACTTTCTTTCTTTTGAGGTGAAATAAATTTGAGATTTCGAGATTTGAATTTTTTAAAATTTCAGCCATTATGGTTCGATTAACGGTTGATTTGATCAATGATTCTATGCAATTTATCAATGCAGTAAGAGAACGCGAATTATGTCTTCGCGCTTGTAAAATACCAGTGCTTGAAAACCTTGGTATCACTCGGGTGATTAATAATAGTATTTCTGTTTTTTTTTTAAATCAAAATCCTATAAAGTCCATTTTAACAGATAATTTTTCTTGTATTAGTGTTTTCTTCTATAGTGAAATACAATTGAAACCAATATTAATTCATCATTTTCATTCTTCCTCATTTTATCATCTAAATGAGTTCCTCATTTTAGTAAATTTTGAATTGAAATGATAAATTAAGTTTGCAGAGGATTTCGTTTTTCTTTGGTTATTATGAGTTTTTTTTTTTTTTTAACTATAAATTTATTCTTAAATCCAAAATATCCAAAATTTTTTAGGATCAGTTTGATACTATCGATTTGACAGATAATGATATTCGAAAATTGGAAAATATACCTTTATTGCGACGTTTAAGTACTCTTCTTCTTCATAATAATCGTATACAGTAAGTTGTGTAAAATTTATTATTGTTATTATTATTTATTTGAATTATTATTATTATAATTATTGAATTATTATTTATTATTTATTTATTATTATTTTTTTATCAATCAAGATTTTGACGCTTTAAAGATATTTGAATTATAAATTTATAAAATAAATTTTCTTGCAGTTATTCAAAATATCTGCTATATAGATTTATACAATATAATGTTTATATAATGTTTGTTTATTTATATAATATTTTACAGACAAATTATGTCGAATATTGGTGAAGTTCTGCCATCATTGAGAACTTTGGCGCTGACTAATAATAATTTGAGTGAACTTGGTGATATAGATCCTCTTGGCAAATGCGAAAAATTGGAATATCTCACGTATTGTTTTATTCACTCGTTTTCCTAATTCACGTTTTATTTCTCATTTTGGTGGAAGTCTTTGGAATTGAAAATTTAATTAATAAAATAAAATTTGTTCGAAACCTCCTTTTAGAATTTTCATTTACAGTCGCATAAATTTTTAATATTCTACAGGCTTATTGGTAATCCCCTCACTCACAAACCAAAATATCGGTTATACATTATCTACAGAGTTCCATCAGTTCGAGTTTTGGATTTTAAGCGAGTTCGGTTAAATGTATGATATTTCATGTTTTTAATATTTATTTTGCTAGTTTTTAAAAGAAATTATTAACAGCCTTATAAATTTCTTTGCTGTATTTATGTATTTTTATTCTATTTATTCTAAATTCTTCAAATTTTTTTTCTCCCTCTGAATGCGCTCACTATTCATGGTTAGAATTGTCCCATGACTTGCCGGACAAATTTTGCCAGAGAGTCATTTGGTAACAGGTAATTCATCAGTATTAGATTTATTCTTTATATTTATCAATGATATAATGTTTATATAGGAACGGCAGCAAGCGAAAGCCTTATTTAAGGGCAAAAAAGGCGAAAAATTAAGGGAAGAGATTGTTAAAAAATCATCAGCTCTTCCAGATGAGGAAGATATGCATGCTGCTAGAGATATTCGGCCTGAAGATGCGAAGAAAATCCAGGTTATTTATATTTTGATTTAAATTGGTGATGCATCCAGTTGTGTTTTAACTGTCTGCCAAAATTTTGTTAGAATTATGAAGTATTTGAAATAATTCATGCATTTTTATCTCTTATTTTGAGGAGGCAATTGATTCTGTATCATCTATTGCTGAAGCTGAATATCTTCAAAATATATTACAAAGTGGTCGTATACCTGAAGGTGCTTGGAATAGAGGTGGTTTTGCATCGATCAACCAGAATGCATTAAAGTAAGTTTCGATTTTCAGGTTTTTTTTATATTCGCTGATTTATAAAATTTTTAATTTTTATTTTCTAGCAATAAAGAAAATGAAGAATTCGTCGTGGAGCATGATGAAGAAGAAGAAAATGAAAATGAACTATTACAAGAAGATGAAAAAATGGACTATGATAACGAAGATTCCACTAGGGTAAACCGTTTGAATCGATTTTATTTAAATTTTTTCTGAAGTTTTTATCGATCTATAATGGTATATCTGATTGTGCATTAAGTTTGGTCTTATTTCCTTTCTTGAGTTTTAGAATGGCTGATGGTTGAGTGTTTTTTTTTCTACCGAGTTAGGAACTAATTTTTTTAAATTTTTTTTATTTCACTGAAACCAATAATATCACAAGATTCAGTTTAAGCAGCTTGAAACGAGTTTACACTGAAAAACTTTAACAATCCAGGTAAGTTAATTTGTAAAAGTACAACGGCCGAACTTCCACATTTACCGAAGTCCATTGGCGGTGTACTAAAAAATGAGCTTCCTTCGCATTTATATCGCATTGTAATATAATATAGTTTCAAAGGATACAATTTATCACGATGTATTACTATCAAGTCATCAGACTTATTTTTAGCATTTTAAGACGACCTTTATGCAAATTAATTGCTAAGTATCATATTCAGTTCATTCGATCAAAAAATGTTCACTTTAATTTATTAATTTAGTTGATTTAAGGATGATAGAAGCGAGGAGTCTGATTCAGAAAAAAATTCGACTACCGCAATGGAAGAATAGATCTCATCAGGTTTTTATGGTTTACTTATTTTTTTTCGTATGGCTATCGATCATATATCAGTGTATGGAGCAGATAAGATATTGTCCAGTTTTTTTTTATGTTATCATTAATATTTTGTACACATTTAACATTGTATTTACCATACGAAAAAAGGAGAGAACCAGGTGGGATTTTTTCTTTCACTCAAATTAGTTTATTTGTTCTCTTCATTGGAAAGATATTTTTATATATGTAAGAGCAAATAGCTCAATAAAAATTGCACACCGAATTTATCATAATTTTATCATTTTTTTCAGAATTTTTTGTTCAGATTGTATAATTTGTTGATTGTTTTTGTTTTCCTGGACAATATTTGGATACTACACGTATCTTGAAGCGTATTTACTTTCTTATTCTTGATAAAATTGTTATTTTTTTTGTAAAGCGTAAAACTTATTGCTTGCAAAATTTTAATCAGCCATAATAAAACACTATTGCTTTTTTTTAACCTTTTTATATCGCTTTAGAAAATATAAATAACAATGGCGATTTATGTTAGAGTAATTATATAAAAAGTGGTGATAAAAGTGCTCGTAAGGTATAAATAAGTGTTTTCTTGTTATCAGTAAGAAAACAACCAACTTGAGGAATAAAATATATTATAAAATGGAAAAATAACGAATTTACTTAAATCGATCGAAATAAAAGCAAGTTTTGCAAGTTATATAATAAAGATAAAATTTTCTCCAAAATTAAACGATTAAAAATATAATTGACGAATTAATCTACGTGATTTTATAATCAGGAAGGTTAAAAAGGATAGAAAAATTATATTCGTATAGCGTAAAGGTTTTGTTGGCAATCTTTATAAAATATATCGACGGAACGAGTTCCAGATTTGCCTGTGATGACCCAAAAAAGCTCAACAGTTCTGAGTTATATATGATTTAAAATATCTACTGAGGCAAACATATAACTTGTTTTCATTGGTATAGATCAGGAAAATCATGGAAGAAATTTCCTTGGTTTTTGGAAGTGCTTTAATAGTTATTTTGAAAATTTGATTAATAATTTTTTCTTAAAAAAAGGCAAAATAATAGAAATATACAAAATAACAAATTTATAAATTTATAAAATAGAAATATACAATATAATAATAAAATTGAGATGTGAAGCCAGATTATCAATGAATGATAAAAGAAATCATATCATTATTATCATATTCTTATAATCCTCTATTATAATAAAGAATTGGCTCATTGGTAAGTTTTTGTAGTTCAGTTTCCAGTTTTATCGTTTCGATCTGTAATAATATTAAATGAATCGGATGATGTTGGTGATTGATTCGTCTATACTTTTATCTATAATTGATTTTCTAGTGAAAAGATCTCAAGCACAATCTGCTAAACCAAACTAGAAATAATAAGGGTTTTTAAAATAAGAAAAATTATATGAATAATTTGACTTAAACTGGTTTCGGAAAATATGATAATAAATTGAAAAAAAAAAAATACTTTGGATTGTTGTGGGAAAAGTGCCAGTGAAATTGGTAGACTAAAAGCAAAGCTAAGCGTACAAACAATTGCATTAATGACAAGATGTCGTCTCCAGCATTTCTTTACGAATTCCATTCTGAAAAAACTCCATTCTTTATCATTTTTATCATTTTGTTATCATTTGCTTTCAGTAATTTATCGTAGTAATTCAGTCTAATTTAATTCTAAACATTCAATCATAAATAGGTATTCGCTTTTGGTTCGGCTGGTTCCACTGGTTACTGTAATATAATCCCATACTTCCATTTACAAGGAGAGGATATATATGCATCACCATGATAATCCGAATTCTATTTATAATTATAGATTTTAGTTCTATTAAATAAACCGAATTAAATCTAAAAGAGCTTGAAACAAATCAACATAATCCTAGTTCATTTTACAGGATTTCATTGAAGAAAGAGATAGAATGGCTCGGTGAATTGTTGCTTTTATTTTCGAATTTTCGAACATCGATTTCTACTCTTTCAGATTATCGCACTAAATGATAATTGATAAGTGATTGCGTGGCAAAATTTATCTTTTTGAAAATAAGTTCAGATTAATTTAGATTTAGAAATGTTTAATTAATCGAATAATCAATGGTACCAACGTTTATAATAATTTCAAATCGGACATATTTCAATTCTTTTTGTTTTAATTATTCTAATTCGATTTCGATTATTATTATCGATGATGGCGTCGGATCGAATAATTCGGCGATATTTAGTGATACTCTGGTAACCAGTGGAGCCAATTTCACCAAATAATGATAGAAAAAATTACGCTTACCGTTCAAAAAATGGCATAATACATGGTGGTAATATTAATAAAGGAACTGGTAGAAATGCTCTCGTTAAAGTTGTTTCGAAAACCGCCTAAAATCTCAAACTTTAACGTTTGATTGTTTGATTGCATTGCTTCAAAGAGATAAATCAAATATTTAAAAAATATTTATAAAAAATATTATTTTAGCTAAAATTTTTTGTTTGCTTAGTTCGTTTAGTTGATTTAAAGTATATATAAATATGTTGAATTTTCATTAAAATTCACTAAAATAAAACTGGAAAGAAAAAAAAAAGAAAAGAAATAAACTTTTTTAGCGGCCACTTTAGATATTCCAATAACATTCTTTTCACTATCGTAAATTTCAATTCCCGAAAAAATTTCACTCCAACGCATCGATAAAATATTAAGACTACTTGCTAATGAAGTAGCTGGTAAGGCGACGAATCTTTGCAAGAATATTTGCTTATTAATCGAAATATTTTTGCATTTCTTGATTAAATATGTAAGTCCTGATATGATATGATATGATATGATATGATATGAATTTTTTTTATTATTTGGAAAATTTTATAGGCTTTTTTTTATAGACTAAAAAATATTTAGAAAAATTGCCTGTAGCAGTTGAACATGCTGATGATACAGCAATACAATATGCCTTTATAAATTTTGATTGATCCTGGAATTAATTATTGTATAATTTTACGATAATTTGATAATTTGATAATTTTTCTTTCCATTTGCATATCGTTATCATTTTAACTTTATAAATTTTTAGCTAATACGTTAATAATAACATTTACGTGCCGTAAAACAGTACCTAATATCATATAATTATAAGCCTTAATTATTTTCAAATATCAATAAACGATTGAAAATATATATCTTATCAGTAACGTTGTGACTAACTTGAGTGGCATTCCTATTAGAATAATTTACAAGTGCATTATGCGATTGGTTCATCCACTGCCAAAATAAAATCGTTGACCAAGACGGATTTGGTAACAACATACCAGTTACCTGACGAAGATTGATATAATGTAGGTCAATGATAATAGTGATATAGGCTAACACCAAAACAATTAATAATGATAATGATAATGGTAATGGTTATACTATTTATCATCTATTACCGTTGATATTAATATTATTTTCTACTTATTACTTGATACTATTCATTTTACTGTTCACCTATTGTTTTGTCGAAATTTTATTCATTCTATCACGAATCATTAATCATAAATCTATTCGAGTGATGCTAATATTCCATAGGTTCTCTCATTCTCAAATGAATCTCTTGTCTAAATCACGAAATAAACTTTAAAAATCAGTGAAGCTAGTTAAATCAGAAATGTTGAGTACCATTAAATGAACCAATAAAATAAAATATATTTATTATTTTTGGGATAAAATAATTTTTGGGAAAAAATAAAATAAAATATTTAATTTAATCCCACTCATTGAATTTCTAATTTTATTTAGCTTATATAATTAATTTTATTTTATTTATTTCTAAATGAAATTGAAAATGGAAGTTTAAGAAGTAATAGAAACCGTAATCCATCCGAAAGGAACATAACCGCTCATTCGAAACGCTGGAAAAATCTTTTTGTTCGTATCCGGATGAACTATCGCATTTTTTATCTTTTGGGCCTTCCATAATTCCTTATCGCTTATTTTAGCACTTCCTTTACCTTCTTTATAATCATTCAGTAATTTTATAGAACTATTTAGTTCCTCCTGAAAAAATTAAAATATTCTTTTAATTCTAAATATTCTTGGAGAGATAAAAATTGAAACAATGCTCTTTTTTGTTGCTTATCTTTTCGATTGCCTATAACTTGGTGAGCTTTTGGTATTATTTAAATTGGCTGTAGGTGAAAAAAAGAGAAAAAATAAAAATTTACGTTAGAAATGAATAAAGTTCGTGGATCGATAATATCCAAAAAATGAAAATATCGTCCAAGAAAAGTATCCTGCGGAAAACGTGGTTCGTTGAGACGGAATTTTGGATAAGGTTCAAATCCAAAAAATTTCACTACAGTCGACATTTTCGTATATTATAAATTTCCCTAAAAGATTTAATTTTAAATGCATCAAACTACATATTTTATTTTATCGTTTAAATTTTGTTTAAACCGGCTGATTTTTTAAATTGAAATCCATTAATTTATAGAAAATATTATATACGCAAATTTATTTAAGGTTTTCAAGCCTTAGAATATAAAATAATAATTTTATTTTTTTTTTTTAAATTTTCTAAAAGCTTTCGCAGCTTCGCTGGTTTATCGGACTAAGCCCTTAGCTATAGAAATATCGATGAGTCGTCATTACCAGGTTTTTTTTTTTAAGAGTCCTCACCACTACTGGTTTAATTCGTTCCACTGACTTGTCGCACTAGAAAAATACGCAAAGGAGTCCCTTAGCGATAGAAGTCGCTAGCATCAACCGGATTTTTGGATAGTTTCACTCCTGCGGGGAGTAGAACCTTAGTATCGGCGCTCCGAATTGCGCAACAACCCACTGAGCCATTCTACTCCATTACAAGGATTGAAAGACAAGGTTAGCCTTTCAAAAATTCTTTTCCTTTATAGAGTGAGTGAATAATGGTTTATTTAATTGTACCGTATAATTAATTCCTCAATTCCTCAACGATGATTATATTCAAAAATACGATCAAATTATATGGAAAAATCTTAATGGAAGAATCAAAGCACCAAAACATTTTCAACAAATCGATAATTCCTGAATATTCTTCAAACTAGTCGAATTGTTCTCACAGTTGTTCGTTTATATTGCCAGCGCTTTTGGCCCAAATTATAATGTACAAATCGTTGTCACTTATAACGCCAATGAGTGATGGTGCATTATTATCGATGCATTTGATATTAGCAATTTTGCATGCTCGTCATTTATCTTTTTAAGATAAATTAACGATTCATATTAGTGATATAAAAATTCATGTAAACCGTAAATCATGAAAAAAATAAAAAATTCAAATCAAAAATCTAAAAAAAGAGAAAAATATAAATGATAAAGTGATAAGTTGATAAATGGTATATTTACCATATTTATAATATTTATATTATAATATAGCATTTATAATATTTATTGATATACAATATTATAATATTTATAATATTTATACCATATTTATAATATTTATTTCCTCATTTATAGTGAATTTTTAAAATTTCAAGAAAAACTTATTTTAAATTTAAATTTATTTTATTTTAAATAATTTAATATTTCATTAATAATTTAATATTATTTATAAGTAATTTTTATATTTCGTTGCTTAATTTTCAAATTTTATGTTTACTTTGAAAATTTTCAAAAAGTTTACAGAATATTATGTACTTTTTTTTTTCATTTTAATTCATTTGATGAAATGGATACAAAATAAAAATCACCGTTTGCATCGAAAAAGAATCACAATGACCAAATTACAAACCGAAATGCCTTAATATTAACTAATTGTGACATTCTCATCATTACGATTACGATTTATCTATCTATTCAAAAATTATGTGAGAATAAGAATTATTATTATTAATATTAATCTATAAGCTTTATTTTTCAACACTCTTTCAACATTCTTTCAAAAATGAACCTTTTCTTCTATTAATAAACACAATAGAAAACCATATGACAAAGTCGATTTTATATTGAATAGGTAATATGATTATTTGCCTTAAATATCAATAAATATCAATCATTTTATCAGTTATTTATAAGATAAAAGCTAAATTGTAACAATTATTTAAAACAAAACGAAATATATTTTTCGTAAAATATCTGCTAATATAAATTCACAAATAACAATTGTTATTGAAATTGTTGTTTAATATACGATTGAATATTTAATTTCTAAGAGCAACCACTATTTCACTGGAATTCACCAAAAAAGACGAATTTTAAGCGAATTTTAAGTATAATGAAATTCGAAATTTTTTAAAAATTTTTTCCGTCTGTGCTATTTTCATTTAATTCGAATGAAAATTAGCAATAAAATTTAATATTTTATAGAAAATTTTTTTATAAAATTATAAACACTGTTTGTTTTAATAATTTTCATTTCATCGAACTTTTTTTGCATATTATTGCTTTTTCGCTGAACGAATTTGTTATCAGTGATTTTATGATGTGATGAAATGATTTAGAATCTAATTAAAGTGGTGCTAAGTGGTGGGCTCATTTAGATAGACTAAATTTAACTAAACTTACTAAGTCATACATGATTACCATTAGAAATGTGAAAAAAAAGTCAAGTGATAAAAAAAATGTGAACTAGCGAAGTGAAAAATTTTGTATGAAAATTCGACAGGAAAAAATCGCTTAATTGAAGAGATAAAAAAAAGCCAAGGTCGAATATTTTGGACATAGATAGATTAGCTGATATAATTAGAGCATATGGTCTTTCATGCTGGGTGTCAGCCTATAGGATTTTTTCGAATTTATCACATAATGTACAACTTATCTATTGTCCTATTGTAGAAGAAACAATGCTGTTGAAAGATTTTTATCGAAAAGTGATCTTATCAGAAGAATTCCCCAATATAACTATGCTTTTCGGAACACACAACGTGCGGTATCAATTTTTTCATCGATTTATCAGCGGCAACATATAAGAGAAAATTGAGAGCGATATTGTTGGTAACTACGCGACACATGCACATTATTATCGATAGCTAAATCATGTATGAATAAAGAAATCGCGATAGATTTTACGTAACTCGAATGTCATAGTAGACCAAATATAATAAATTATTTTTTGAATGACCACTGTTCATCGTCGATTAATAAATTTGTGGTGCAAATGGGCTCTTTTTTCTTTAAAACAATATTAAATGATAAAAATTTTGTTATTTGGCTGAACTTGTTTAGATTTCAAATGATGAGATGCTTCGAAATTTCACAACAATGATAAAAAATTAAGAAGTAAAATTAAGAAATTTTAAAATAAATTTTAAAATAAATTTATTAATAATTATTTTAAAAAGTCTAAAATTTCAAAAAACTTGAATATTTGAAAAAATCCCTTATTTTTTAATTTATTATTTCACATTGTGTGGTGCATTTTCCCATTAATCAACAATAGATGAATTATGTATGACAAATATAAATAGATATGCTTAACACTGATAACACTGATAGCTGATAAAATCCACTAAAAACACTATGCGACAATTAATGTGACAGAAGAAGAGAATGATCGATGAATCGGTTTCTTAAAAATTATCGTATAAATTACGATACTATTAATGCCATCATTCTTAATGCATTTTCATGAGATTTAGATGATTTTCATTATTCCATTATTCAATCGTTATTTCTTTATTTTCCAAATTTTATCCCTTCTTTTTTTTCAATTTCTATGAACTATTTCTAAATCATTTTACTTTACTAACTATGGTGTCTCGCAGGAGTAAACCTATGCAAAAATCCAGGTGATGCCGGCGACTCACCTATATTTTTATCGCCAAGGGACTTCCTGCATATTACCCAATGCGACAAGCCAGTAGAGCGACTTTAACCAGTAATGGTGAGGACTCTTTACAAAAAAAACTATGGTATTATTCTATATACAATAATACTTCGTACAATATTTATTAATATAGCCCAAGATGAAACTTGTTCGATAGATAAAACAGTTATTATAAGTATAATATGCATATTTAGTACCAACGGCAATACAATTTTAATGGTATTTTTACTAACGTTTCGAGAAAACTCATGGATATGATATGATATAACAAGCTATGATAAGAAGCAAGCAATCGCTGAAATACTTTTTTATGAAAAAAATTTTAAAAGATTTTTTGCGAAAAAAAATAAAATTAGAGCTGAGTAAAAAAATTTCTTAAAATTATTGAAAAATTAAGTAAATGAAAAATAAATAAATAAATATATGAAATTTTTATTTTTATTTTTTTAATTTTTTAATTTTAATTTTTTTTTATGTTTGTGGCTTTGTGGCTCTAATTATTAATATAATAAATATAATAATATATTTTATTAATATAATAATAAAAATTGCTTTACCGAAAATTTGGCATTCATTGCCAAGAATTATTCATTTTTCATGAAAGTTTTGGCTTAAACTATTTTTCTATTAGTTCTAATTCTAATGTTTTGATAAATTTTCTCTTAATATTGTATAAATTTGTCGTATTCTATTAATTTCTACCTATAAAAAAAAAAAGTTTTATACTTAAGTTAAGAAACTTCTTTATTGCCAATATCTTTCTCCATAAAAACCAAATTATATTGCCGATTTATAATGGCCTTGAAATCAAACTGATCATTTTGGCGATTTTTCATACTCCGTATTTCGATTAAGTTTAAGAAATGAAAAATTCACATTCAATGTGTCTTGAAAAGTTTTATTTATCACAATAAGAATCAAAAAGTCCAGAAAAATTTTATTTCCATAAAATTTCTTATCAGAAATAATTTATTTTAAAAATATTTAATCAACTTGATCTATCTTTCTGTAATGTAAAAGTTAAGCCTTTTATCATATCACATGTTATAGAGCAATAATGACCATTGTGGTGGTCGTTTACTGGATTTTTAAGGATAATTCGAATTAAATTAATCTCACTCGAATAGAATATGTTACAACAATATAATCCCATTTATGATTAAAGCGAATGGTGTATCGGTACTTCATTGGGAAATCTTCATTAGATATTTCAGCTAGGCTTTTCCACTTCAGGCTGAAATATTTAAAGTGTACTAGCCTTTAGTTCACGATCTTCACGGCTAATGCACCGCATCATTTTATGCAAATGAATACAACTTTTATAATTTCTATATGCGTTTTTTTTTTCTTCGCATTCTATGGAGTCTACTGAATTGTATATTTTATTGCAATTGTTTGTTATTTTTCATAATCTTTTTTATTTTTCAACTATTTTCTCAACCATTCGACATTCAATTAAGCAAAAATTGTAAATCTTATTCAGTAAAATCCCTTTTTCCATCTATATTTATAATAAAAATAAAATATTCGTTTATTATCTCTAATAAGAAATTCTCTTTCGAC